GTGACACTGAAATTCATGATAATTTTACATACGGGTGTAAAAGCTCACATTTGCTTTGTTTTATTTTTTATGTATAATTTTTAATGGTCTGAACCTGGGCTTTATTTGTACAACTGACGAAGATTATGATAATAGGTCCACTCCCATTTTCTTCGGACTAAAAAACTGTAAAACTGTCAAAAAATAAACATTCGCTCAGATCGAGAGAATAACACTGAAAAGTACGGGATCGCTTTCTAGTAAAAAATTTTAACTTCTGACAACTTCAACATAACCTCCAAATTTTGGTTGTAAATTTCTTTTGTTTGCAATTTGGTTGTCAAACACACTACAGCTGATCGTTTGACACATTTACCAGCAAAAAATCTTCGCACTAAAACTGGTAACGTCTGACAGAGAGAGGACATTATTTACTCTCTTTTTTGTCCTCTCAATAGGCAGAGCACCGAGACCGGGATCGAATTCCAGTAAAAAAAATTTCATCAAAATGATCATCAACTTTTTTGTTCAGAATTTTTAGAAACCTTTCGAGTATGCAGTTTTGTTGCCCATTCAATTTTAGTCAAGTGCAAGTTTCAAGTCGCTAAAAATTACCGTTGATTTTTTAGAATTTTTTTGTGGAGGGTGTTGCGGATTTTCTTCCATATAAAAATAGATTTTATTCGTGAATGGGCTAAAAACTGCACTCGATTTTTTTTTTAATTCTGAATAAAACGTTGAAAATTTTGACGATTTTTTTTTTGAATTTTTGTGAATTTTATATAAAGTGTAAAACTTTGATTTGTATTATAGAATGAATTATATTTTCATAAATAACGAATCTAAAAAATTTTTCATGCAAATAATTGTGAATATTATATTAGAAAAAGGTGTACCCTTTCATTTGTCGCGTAGTGTATGTATATAAAGCACAATTTTTTTTTTCTTTTTGGTATTCTAAAATTCTTGCATGAAGCTCAACTCCATAACTTCTACCAAAATAGTGTAGCCGCATCAATAGTCTCTTCACACAAATACTAAGAGAAAAAACCTCATTACTTTTACAGTTAAACTGCTCTGTTCCCCTCAAAAATGACACATTTAGCTCACTGGACAAAGTCCAGTAATTACAAGCAGCCCATAGGTACCTATTAACGAACGATATCGCAGGCATCTATCATATTTACGTGCATATGTATGTATGTACATATGTATGTTGATAAAACGTAAGCAGGCATGATAAAATTACGGTTATTGTACTCTATATTCAAGAATGATAGAATACAAGATTGCGCCGATTGCAGCAGAATTCGTGAGAGTAATTTTAGCGTGACGTCATCGTAGAGTTGACAACTGAGAGCGGCGAGAATGAGGGCGACTAGTGATGTGCTGAATTGTCCCCAATACTCAGTACCCAATACTTGAAAAAGATTTCGGTACCCTATACTTCCTTTTCGGTATCCGATACCGATTATTTACATTAAACCCTCGCCATTATATGCATTTTAGGTTTAGATAAAACTTTCATTACTAATTTATATGATATCGGCTAAAACACTTGAACTTATCGCCACAGAAAAATATTATTTTATCAGTTTTAACCTTAGTCGGTCCAAGGTTCAATAAAAATACTTTGACGGATGAAGAAGCCTTTCAGGGGAGAGATTCTGTAGCCAGTTAGCGACAAGTTTCGGATCGATATCGCACTTGTTGACTTACAAATATTTGATATCAAACGTCGACAAAACCGATACCGATTCGAAAATTGTCGTTAACTGGTTAGAGAATCTGTCCCAGGCCTACAAAAATGATATCGTCCGATTCAGCTGGAACAAAAATTCTTCAAACAAGTAAGGGTATTATGGCATTGAACCGACATATATACATCTTTCATTTGAATCAGTAAAAAAGCTCTATTGGCTCTTGCATTCGGGTTTTGTTAGGCGTTTTTTCCATATTTTTGGCCTATGTGCGCTTTTATTCGAAACCTAAATGTTTCGGTACTGAGTATCGAGAATATTGGGTACTTAAAAGTATTGACTCAGCACATCACTACTGCTGTCTCCTCTACTATGACGTCACCAAAACAGCTGATTCTGTCAAAATCACTGAGAGCCGAGTAGCGGTATCGTCATCGGCGCCACCTCTGTATTCTCTCCACCGTGCTCTATATTGATATTTATTGTTGTCTTTTTTTATTTTAATTGCTGTTATTATTTTAATTTGCAACATCAAAGCAAACAAAGACAGCGAACAAACAATTTTATAATTGTGCAATGACCAATGAACAGCCAATCAATGGCTACAGCTGCTGTGCTCAATGAATTCATATTCCAAAGGCATTTAAAACTTGTAACGATTTTCAGATTGTGTTAACATACTACATACTTACATATGTATACTTATACATATGAAGTTACATACATACTTGGTACTACCCACTCAGCATTTTCTGAAATTATTTATCATTTACGAGTCTTTTTTGAAGTCCTCTGTGCGATTAAAACAATCATAAATGTGCTCATATTCTGATCATAAAAGACTCTTTTGTCGGTAGAAAATGGTATCCTGCCCGCGACTCTTCTTGACGAGTCTTTTATTACTTACTTTTCTGAACAGTTTTGACTCTTTCAAGTCATATTTATACTCATTTGTGAGTCTTATTCGAATGATATTTCAGTCGTATTTCTAAACATTTTCGAGTCAAGCCATTTTTCAGTTCTATATCCAATTATTTTCGAATCTTTTCCGATCTATTTCAAATCGTTTAAATTAATTTATAATTAGCAAATCAGCATATTTTATTGATTTCAAAAAAGCGTTAATGATATATCGAAATTGTTTTTTAATAAACCCCATTATTACAGTTGAAAATATTTCAAATTTACCCTCCCAGATAAAAGTAATTGGCACAGATAACTTTTCACAATGTATGCAAAGTTTTTTGTTCCAATTTCTTTTCACTAATTTTTAATAAAAAACATAGCTCATATTAAAAGAAAAACATAAAAATTCAATGTCTAAACTTTATGAAGAACTCAGACAAATTCAATAACACTGGACCACAAATTTCAACTTTTTCTCTTTACCAGAAACGCCGTTATGATTCCGAAAATCAAGGTTATTTTTAATTCTATGGTACCGTTTTTGAGATATTTGCAATTTACCGTTTTTGCAAAAAAAAAAAAAATTGGGTCCACTTTATCATATATATCTCAAGAACGAATTAAGGAATTCCAAAACGGTTTGAAGCTTTTAAAAGGTAATAAAATTTTCTATAAACTGTGCATACAACACTTTTTGCTAGGCCCTGTAGATTCAAAGATAACGAACAATCATTACCGATTTTTTCAATTTTTTTTGTAAAAATATAAAAAAAATTGTACTTTGCGGGGAAGGATCTCGAAAACCTTTTATTTTTTTGCAGATTTTTTTTTTCTCCCTAAGCTCTGTTGTATTACAAAAAAAAAAAGCTATCATCGAAGAAAAGCGATGCAAAACTACGTAAGTTATAAGCGATCAAATAAAAATACCCAGGTTGCGCAACTTCAATGTATGTACCTATACATACATACATACATACATACATACATATATTAAAGGTATAAAGTGCAAGTGAGATATTATCCGGATAAACGAATAACACCATAACAATGATAACACTTTTTCTTTAAATAAATCAAATAGTACTTTTAATACTCGAATTGTATTATAATAGGTAGAGTGGTTGCATCGAAAGGAAGAGTGGTTGGGTTCGAAACCTGCTGTAGGCATGTAGTTATAAACATGTATTTCCGTCAGTTATGGGTAAGTATGCAGGTAGATTTTCAAAATTATAAGACACAGAAAATTTCTAAAGCCTACATCTAAAACAGGTAGTATTTTCTTTTCCCGGCTTGTTATAAAAAGGAACCTTTCTGTCTAGGTAAGATTTGATTTTTTCAATTTTATTCTTGTTCCGAGTATAAATATGAGTTAATGCGCTTTGAAACTTCATAACATCTTCAAGGCTCGCCGGAGATAGTTCAGTTCATAAGTCTAATTTCAAAACCGTGATTTATTAAAAAATAAAATGAGTAAAAGGACCCGAGAATTTGAGTGTAATAAGGATCCAGATATGTTCTGTTTCATGTGTGGCCAATATACTATCATACGACGACGAGTGTTCTCAGATCATATCAAAACTTTATACTCCAAGTATTTTGGAATTGAGCCTAAAAATGCTGAAAAACCATGGACACCGAACACTTTGTGTACATCGTGTCGAGTAGAATTGATTCAGTGGGAATCAGGACAACAAACAAAATTTGATACACCAATGATATGGAGAGAACCTACTTGCCATTCAATAGAGTGTTATATTTGTCAAACAAAAGTACTTGGCGTTGGAAGATCAAGAGGAGTAACCTATGCTAGCGTACCTACAGTGACATTACCAGTACTACATTCAACGGCAGTTGCGGATCCAGTTCCATTGTCAACAGTAACATCTGAGTGCGGGGGATCAAGTTGTACTGAATTTCGCATGGAAAACGAAAGAAACGTTCTGTCACAAGCACAACTTAATGATTGGATAAGAGATTTGGAACTATCCAAGGAAAGGCCGAGATCCACACTTCTCGTATGCAACAATTTAAATTTGTGTCATCCGATGTTAAGGTGACATATAGTAGAACTCGTCACGAACCATTTTCCAAACACTATACCAAGAAAGACAGTATATGCTACTGCAACGACATCCCTGGTTTATTCAAAGAGTTTGGTCAAACATATGATTCAAAAGAGTGGCGATTGTTCATAGACGGCAATAAACTGAGTTTGAAGGCTGTATTATTGCATATTGGTAACAAAAAGCCTTCTATCCCGATTGCACATGCAGTAAATACAAAGGAAACCTACGAGGAAATGCAAAAAATACTCAAATTTATCAAATATGAAAAAAAAAGTTAAAAATATGGGTAATTTCATTCATAAATTGAACTTTTAACTCAATAGAAACAGAGCATAGCTAGATATTTCACTCTTCTTTATACCATACATACCGTTTGAGGTATACGTTGAAATTGTGCAACCTGGGTATTTTTATTTGATAGCTTATAACTTACGTAGTTTTGCATCGATTTTCTTCGATGATACCTTATTTTTTTTGTAATATAACAGAGCTTGGAGAGAAAAAAAAAATCTGCAAAAAAAATAAAAGGTTTTCGAGATCCTTCCCCGCAAAGTACAATTTTTTTTATACTTTTACAAAAAAAATTGAAAAAATCGGTAATGATTGTTCGTTATCTTTGAATCTACAGGGCCTAGCAAAAAGTGTTGTATGCACAGTTTATAGAAAATTTTATTACCTTTTAAAAGCTTCAAACCGTTTTGGAATTGCTTAATTCGTTCTTGAGATATATATGATTAAGTGGACCCAATTTTTTTTTTTTTTTGCAAAAACGGTAAATTGCAAATATCTCAAAAACGGTACCATAAAATTAAAAATAACCTTGATTTTCGGAATCAGGGGGTGATTTTACATACGAATTTCATAACGGCGTCTCTGGTAAATTTTGGCCGTCGACCAGTGTAATTTTTCAACTTTTGAAATAGGTCTTCTAGAAAAATTTTAAGTATGAAGTTTAGTAGCCCATTAAATTTTAGTCAAATAAAGGTTCCAATTTTGGCAATTATTTGCTGACAGTGTCTTCCATATAAAAAATCGCGAGCATGCTTTATATGGAGGACACTGTCAGAAAAAAATTGCCAAAAATGGCGTTGAAAAATTGGAAATTTATAAAATTTTTCTGAGTTTTACACAATGTTTTGACATTTTATCTTTAGGTTTTTGTTATGTGATAAATTAGTTAAAAAACTTTGCACGCATTGTGAAAAGTTGTACTAATACTTTTGGCCGTATAAAAATTAATTAATTTTAAATTAAAAAATCTATTTTACGAATTGCGCGGGTTCTTCGCCGTGTATACTTGCAATAATCTTGTTGGTTTTCGTTTTTCCAACCTGTCTTTAACATGCCCAAAATGCTTTTGTAGCACAACTTTTTTTTTTTGGTCTTTGGATTCAAGATGGGAAATATGTATATAAAAAGAGAATATTATTATTAGGTCATACCATGATAAAAATATAGTAAGGTAGAACCGCTGAGAGTCACTTTTAAAATTCTTGACGTTTCCAAACAATTTAATTTTTAAATTTACTCACAAACTCACACACACATTTTCATTTTCAATCTCAAGCAACAACAATTTCGAACAATTTCATTTTTTTATTTTCACTTTTATATGATTTTAAAATGTTGGCAAACTTCAAAAAAAAATCATGGCCGACGAGTTGAGAGAACGGTTTTACCTTACTATGTTTTTATCATGGCGAAACGTATGCAAATACAATAACAAAGCAAATTTTGTAGATTCAATGCATGAAGTGGAAGCCCAATTAGATAATTTTCCGAACCAGTGAATAGCATAAACAATTAATGACAACGAAGAATATTTTAGATTTACAATCAACCAAAATCCTATAGAATCGAATTAAATTTTTGGTATTTTTTAAAGACACTTAGTAAGTCACCATCTGACCCGCTTTGAGTAAAAGAACCTTATTCTCATCCTTATTGCTTTTTATTTTACTATGTGATTCTATTTTTATTAACTTAGAATACAATTTTTTTTTTTTAATTTCTGAGTAAATCCCAGTGTCTAAAATAAAAATATAATAAATAAGTAAAATTTTTTTTTTTATTTGTGTTAAAAGTGTGGGAAAATGAATAATTAACAGCTTAATTGAATTTTCGCTCTCTGTTTCCCGTCCAAAGTGAAGCTAGTGATGGACCCGCCATTAAAAGTAAACGCGAATGCGACTAATC